GCCAGGAGCCGGCGGTGTGTGCTGGCAGCCCAGAAAGCCAACCGTATCCTGGGCTGTATCCAGAGAAGTGTGGCCAGCAGGTTGGGGGAGGGGATTCTCCCCCTCTACTCAGTCCTTGCAAGACCCCATCTCGACTGCTGTGTCCAGCTCTGGGGCCCTCAAGACAAGAAGGGTATTGACTGGCTGGAGCGAGTCCAGAGGAAGCCATGAAGATGCTCCGAGGGCTGGAGCCCCTCTGCTATGGGGACAGGCTGAGAGAGGTGGGCTTGTTCAGCCTGGAGAAGAGAAGGCTCCGGGGAGACCTTATAGCCCCTTCCAGTACCTGAAGGGGCTACAAGGAAGCTGGGGGGACTTTTTACAAGGGCCTGTAGTGACAGGACAAGGGGTTAAGGGTTTAAATTGAAAGTGGGGAGGTTTAGATTGGATATCAGGAAGAAGTTCTTCCCAGAGAGGGTGGGGAGGCACTGGAACAGGTTGCCCAGAGAAGCTGGGGATGCCCCATCCCTGGAAGTGTCCAAGGCCAGGCTGGATGAGGCTTGGAGCAACCTGGTCTAGTGGAAGGGGTCCCTGCCCATGGCAGGGGGGTTGGAACTAGATGGTCTTTAAGGTCCCTTCCAACCCAAACCGTTTTGTGATTCTATGAATACGCCAGGCAGCAGTGTTTGTACTCAATGCCTTGAAATGAGAAATCGTTAGCTGAGCACACTCACCATCCATAGGGATGCTATTAGGTAGTGCAGACATTCAAAAGTGATTCAGTAGATAGTTAATGTGCTCCAAGCTTTACCTCTGTGCTACCTTCTCTTCATGGATACCTCTTATATTTTACTTCTAGCTCCTTTTTGTTACGTGAAAGATAAACAGGGGTGACTGGCTGATTATCCGAGGGGAGTAGTGAACTGATTCTAGCCTTCCAGTTTGTGTAACCTGAATAAGAGGATCTGTCCATAACACCTTCATCTTTTTTTTTTTTTTTAATTCATTTGCTCTGTGCAAATGCAAGGGGCAAAAGGCACCTGTCTACATGGTACACTGAGTAAAATATGTAGTCAGATCTTACACTGCTTAGTATTACCATGCAGTTTAAGCACAAAGCTCTTCCCTTCTATTTCTTGCAGCCTACCACAAAATCTGATCTGAGCTGTGCATCAAGGCTGTGCATAATACATGGGTGTAAGTTAGCACTAATACACAATAACCTGTTTTCTGATGTAACTTACAACCAATCTATTTAAAATTAAATTGCCTTTTTTTTTCTCTCTGAAAAAGGAAAGATGGGTGCACCATCCTAAATTTTCAGTGAGAGGTTTTAAGATAGACAGTTGGGGTGGAAGAGTTTAGCAGCAGAGCTAACTATGACATTTTAGAGTCTCCTTGGGTGTTTTCCAGCCTGTGATTCTTGGAAACTGCTTGGCTGAGACAGGTCTGGTTGGGGTCTGGATTAGGTTGGGATGCCTGTTGGGTGGGAGCAAAATGTGATGGATGTCATGTGAGGCATGCATTGTCTAGCCTACAGAAGCAGTGTTGGAAATCACTGGATGCCATTTTTGCCTTAGCTGAAATTATATATTTATTTACATACATAATCTTTAAGTATTGTAGAAGTAGAAAAGAAAATAAATAGCCCTTGGAAGAAGGGCACTCTCTGTTTGGCTGCAGACAATGCAGCTCTGAGGCTGCTGGCTGCCTCTTTGACCCACAGAGTTGCTGCATGTCCTGGGAATGAGCACCAGTGTCATTGTACCATGTGCATCACCCCGCAGCCACTGGCAAGTGGGGTCTGGCCAGGCAGCCCCTGCCCCCCATCTGCTTCACCATTCCCATTAGGAATAGTTGGTGGAAGCAGATCTGTACAGGCTATAAAGGAGCTACAAAACCTTCTCAGAAATCAGGAATCTCCCTTGACATGGCTAGTGCCAGCGCTCGTGCCTAGGGAATGCTGTATTTTCACATTTTGTTGTTTTAATTGATGTTGTGACTCATGTGAGTAGATGCATATGTTTCAAGTTAATAAAACACATACATCTTCTCTTTGGTGACTCCTGAGCCAGTGATAGAGAGTGAGTGAAGACATTAGTCAGACTTGACAGAAAATTTAATTTTGCCTGTGTGATTGCAGAGGGTTGCAGTGTGCGGGGAAGATGCACGCAGCCCGCGGGGCTGGAAGTGGCTGCCTCAGGGAGGGGGGGGCTGGGTTAGGGGATTGTTTGGGGTTTTTGCACTTAATTGAATTTTCCTGTGTTTGGTTTTTTTTAGTCTTTCTTTAGAAAAGTACAGAAGGCTTCACAGAAACATTTGCTGCCACTTAAAATGCAGCCCAAGTTAGATGGCTGTTCCATTTGTTCTTCTTACTAGCTGTATCCTGGCACCAGAACTCAGCTGTGCTTGGATCCGTGATGCCTTTGGTTAAAAACTTGGCTTCATTATTGGTATTTTATAGATCTCACTTTGGTTTTATATGTAGCTGAGTTTTCATCTCCCAAATCTCCAATGGCTCGTATGTAATCTAATGGTGGAAACAATGTGGAGTGCTCTGGTGCTCAGGAAAGGTTAATTTTGTGTTTTGATTCCCTTTCTCCTTTTGCGCTTTGCTTTCATCTGTGTTTCTGTACGACTCTGTGAGGCTAGCATGTGGGTTGGTCCCTGAAAGAGGCATTTTCCCCAGCAAGGCTGCTGTAGGGTGGGCATGTGCTGAGCTTTGCCCGGCCCCGGGACGGAAATAGCTCTGCATCTAGAAACCTTCTGTTGTTAGACATGAGCACAAACGACGAGATGGAATGTTGCACCGTATTTCGCATCAGCCCGCTAAGGTGATCTGTTTACCGTCTTCACCAATGGACTCGAGTGAATTGCTATTTGTTTTGGGAATTTATCCCCTCTCCTTCTTGGCTGTTGCTGGGGGATATCTGGGGCAGCAGCAGTGCTCGTGGCCCTCAGAAACGCCGCCAGTGCTGCTGCCGTCACAGAAATGGGCCCTGTTGCAAACCCACTGGTAAATTGGTGACTCTGGGGAGCTGGTTTCCCTGCTTACGAGGTGGGGAGTGCAGCACCAGCTCTGCAAGGCTGTGTGAGCCCAGTGGGTGCTCTCATCCTCTGGCAGGGGCAGCTGCTGTTCAGGGGGTGGCAGCCACCTCGTGGTCTGTGCCAGCCCATAGCACTCTTCCGTGGAGACATTTCTCTTTTACTCCATGTGTGACTGCACTCGTCATAGATCCCGAGTAGAGACTACAGAGCAACTTTCTTCAGCAGCATATACATCTATTGAAGTGTCCGTGGCAAAGGCTAATTACTCCATTCCTAAAGGAACTGTAAGTGTGAAGTAGAGGTAATTGCTCAGCTGAGAAAGTGTATATTAAGTACTTTCACCAAAGGAAGAGATAAAATTGATGGAGACTGTTTTTATAGTCTCTTTCCAAACATTGATCTGATCCTACAGTGTACTGCAAGAGCAGCAAACAGAGGGAGTTTTAATTTCTTTATTTCCTCATCCTAAAAATGCCCTGAACAGGGCAGAGTTGAATAAAACATGTTGTGTCATGATTTTCCCACTTTTTTCCACTTCCCTATGCTCTGCTGGTAGAGTGCTGTTTCTTGGATAAATGTAACTCAGGTAGCAACCAGCCTCGTTTTGAATGTTTTATGCTTTGCATTCTGGTTTTGGCAGGCTGAATAGCTGTTTGTGTCTAGCTGAACCCATTGTGTTTCAGAATGGAGGTATTTT